AGAACTGCTTTGTAAAATGTTTAACAAGTGCCTACAAGGAGAAAGTATCCCGAGAGATTGGAAAGTCTCGTACATAAACTCCATCTACAAAAAGGGAAACAGGAATAACTGCAGTAATTACCGAGGTATCAGCATTACGTCATCCACTGGCAAACTGTATGAAAGAGTTCTGAAAGCCAGACTAGAAAAAGAAGCCACAGAGATCGAAGAACAAAGTGGATTCCGACCAGGGAGATCTTGTGTCGACAATGTACTTACTCTCAAACATCTAACGGAAAAGAGATTAGCAAGAGGACTAGAACTTCATGCCACTTTTATAGATCTCTGTAAAGCGTTTGACTTCGTACCACTGCAGAGACTATGGACAACATTGGAAAACGCAGGTATAAATGCAGTATATATAAATGCCGTGAAAAAGCTATATCAAGATAACCAAGCTTATATTAAGGTTGGAAACCAAATTTCCAAGGGTTTCACCCAAACAAAGGGTGTCAAACAGGGCTCTTGCCTCTCCCCAACCCTATTTAAAATATATCTTGGTAATGCTTTAAAATATTGGATGAGAAAATGCAGCCCAATGGGCATATGGGTAAATGACACTCCTATATACACAATCCTCTTCGCAGACGACCAGGTAGTTCTTGCCGAGGACCTACAAGATATGATGTACATGATAAACAAACTAATAGACGAATTCAAAAAATGGGGATTAGAGGTTAATACCGAAAAGACAATACATGAATATAGGAGGCATCGGTCAAGACATGGAAACAGAAAGCAGATTAATTAAAAACGTTGATCAGTACGAATATCTCGGAGTTACACTAAGCGAAGGCGGGAGAAACGACAAAGATATAACAAGAAAAATAGGAAAAGGAAAAAACATGATAAAAACACTACATCCGATCCTGTGGAATAAAACTTTAACTAAGAAAACAAAGAAAAATATAAATCAGGCTATGATTCAGCCGGTGCTGACGTATGGGTCAGAAGTGTGGGTCTTTAACAAGAATATGTCACAAAAACTCCTCTCAACGGAAATGATGTACTGGAGAAGATGTTCCGGGTTAACTTTGTTTGACCACATAAGAAATGAAAACATAAGAGAGAATGAAAATAAAGAACACAATAATGGATAAGATAGCCGAAAAACAATTAAAGGTATGGCCACCTGAGACGGATTAACGAAGAAAGGATACCACGAAAGGTTTGGAACTGGAGACCTACACAGAGAAATAAAAGGGGAAGGCCAAGAAAGAAATGGATATCCAATATTCAGATAGAAATGGAAAATAGAGGCCTTCAAGTAGGAGACTGGGCCGATAAGAAATTATGGCGATTGGGATGCGAGAAGCGACAAAATTAAAGTTGCAAACACTCGCTATATATATATATATATATATATATATATATATATATATATATATATATATATATATATATATATATATAAATTATATAATTAATGATCATTATTCGGCAAATAATTACAGGTGTGATCTTACTCTTATAATAACGAACATGCACACATATATAAATTAGTTGCACAACTAATGATATTTAAGTAACGTAAAGATTTATATTATATAAGAGCAGCTTAGAAAAATCCTGACCTGTTTGGCGTGTATGGCGAGGGACCACCGTTTCCAAAATTTCCTCATAAAACTGCAGGAAAACCGGCGGCGTATCAGCTATATCAATCATATGTTACACACGTGGTACACGTGTTGCAATTTTATCTTCGGAGACCATGCATACTTGTCATTTTTTATCGAAAAAAATAATACTGGTAGAAAATTCGTTTTACAAGATCCGAATACAAATATGCAAATAAGGAAAAACTTTAAACATGTTCTTAATGAATTTCTCCAAAAGATTGAATTTTAAAATTTACTTTATTATTATACATAGACTTTTAAACATGAATATATTAAAACATTTTGCTTCAATTAAAACTTCTAAATACCAACGTAATAACTGCTTTGTAAGTTACCAAATGTTTTAAAAATAATCTAGATTTAATGCATAATTTTTGTACTAAATAATTTTTTTGTGGAAATTGAAAGCAGCTAAACACTTTCCATTCTGCTTGACTTTTAATGTAGTGTAATAATCCGAAAACAAGGACACATGGCTAAATATTAAATATTATAATCATGATATGATACGAATACAAAAAGAACGTGAAATAAGAGCTAGTGAAAAACAGTTGTAAGAATTAATTTTTATTCTTCGAACATTTATTGCCATGGTTCATTCCATTGAACAACAAATGTGTTAAGATGACAGCTCAGCAATTTAATGAATAACATCAAGGTAAATTTGTGATTTGTGATTGGGAAGTATTTTTAAAGTTTGGAGTCCAACAAAGCGAAGTTACAGTATTGGGACATATGAGGTTCTGAAATTGTTTTCTTGTGGCATGTTATAACGAAAAAGATAACAAAAGTAAAACGTTGCTCCATTCAGCAGCTTCATTGGAGATGGTTAAGTATATGACTAATAGAAAAGTACAGACTAAAGACAGATAGATAAACGATAGACAGTAATTAGATTAAAATTTGACAAAGAAAAAATAAGAAACACAGAATACAGCTAAATTGCAAAATAAAATGGACCAACAAGTTTTAACCAGAAACTAATAAAGGAACTAACGATTCAATAAACTAAACATTAGATCTACATTTCACCCGAAGGCATCAGAAAAACACGCCAAAAAATGTATCAACTAATGATCAAAGAAAATTATAAAAATCTACATATTTTCCCATAAGCTGAGATAGATTACATATTCAATACAATACTTTAAATAAGTTATATTGCCGCAAATAAAATATTATTTAAATAAAATATTAGGTCTCAAAAATATTTATTAATCCAAAAAATATAAAATACATGCTAATTTCAGTAATTAGCCAACATGTATTACGACCATTATTGTCATAAATAAACTTATAACCAAGACAGGCGGCAGTCTTTAAATAACTAAAATAAAATTATTACGCAAATTAATTTAATTAAAACTTTAAACATCTTAACGTAACAAAAAGACAATTTAAATGAATATTTGTCTACAACTTGAATCGAATCCAATAGGACTGTGTTTCGTTTAAACTAAAACAAAATAAAATAAATTATAAACTTAAGCGTTACACATGGTAACATACTTAAAAATAAAGAAATTACGTGGCTTTTGTTTAACTAAACCATTCAGCGTGTTATATATTTAAAATATACAAAAACAGCTCATAAAAAAACTCTCAACAAATGATTCTAGTTTTAAAAAAGTTCGGTAAAATAAGATAAATCAACCGCACAAAAAAATATCAAAATAGTATTTATGGCACTCACATTAGCAGGTTGTTGCCTCCTAGGAAATTCCGTAAAACCAAGGGACGAAATATGTACAGTTCAGTCGAAATCTCGGAATAGGTAGGTGCTAGATGTTAGAAGAAGAAGAAGGTTGCGGCACTAAAAGAGATTTCCGATGAAAAACCTATTAAAATATAAAGGAGTCTTTGTATTTATCGAATAAGTTAACAACAGATTGACAAATCTTACCACAAAAAATGCAGGTGTCAGCACTAAACTTTAAACAACGGAAATATTTCGTAAACGATACATTTCAATGAAAGAGTGAAAACTGACTAACCGAAGAAAAGTATTATTTCTTTTATAACTCAGGGCAATGTTAATTAACAGAAGGGGTAGGTCTGTTCCTGTAAGAAAATATTACCACCTTAAATTTTTTATTATAGTCAAAGCGAATTAAATCTTGAGAGGGATTATGTTAGATTAATACTTGAGTAAAGTAGTTTAAGAAAGAACCGTGTAAGTATTTATGGGAGCATATGAACACTTATATGTATTCAGAGCGATAAAAAATTAATTTCTTAGACAGAGCGTTAATTTGAAAATATAGTTTGGTCAAAGTTGTAAAATCAAAGAAATTGAAACATCACAATGTTGAAGGTAAATATTATTTAGAATTTAACCACAATTGATTGTAATGACAATTGCATTTTATATTTGTTTTGACGTTTTAATTCCCAATTCGGAAATTGCTTTCAAAAAATATTATAAATTAAGAGATTGCTGATCTGTATTGTTTACCAAATTGGCGCTTTTGGCTGCTGCAATGTAATAGTAAATATAAACGTTGTATCGTAAACATAAAATCCTTCACTCCCCATTCATATAGAATAATGCTTTTACAAATTCGAGCAACACCGGTGAATATTAACGTATTACAGGTATACGCGCCAACGGCAGATGAAGATGAGGCAACCAGCGAATTATTCTACGAACAACTGGGAAGCCTGATCAAAATGACAAAAAAAACATGAAGTAACAATAATGATGGCAGATTTCAATGCAAAGGTTGGCAGAGGCAAGGTGAATGAGATCGTGGGACACTTCGGCCTAGGGAGAAGAAACGACAGAGGTGATAGACTTATATGCTTCTGCCAGGAATATAACCTGCTGTTAAGTAATACACTCTTCAAGTTCCCCAAACGTCGACTTTACACATGGAAATCCCCCGCTGACTCACCTGACAACATCATAAGGATAGATTATATAGCAGTACCAACAAGATATAAAAACATGATAAAATCATCAAACACGTACCCTGGTGCCGATGTTCCTACGCACTATCTGTTGGTATGTAGAATGGTCATGAGAGTAAAACTTCTCAAGAAATGATCTAATTTAAACACAATTGATATTAAGAAACTCACTGTTGTGATGAGTCTCGTCCCAACCTTTGCTGGAGACGGTCGCATAAATTTGTTTCTCTAGTACAAAAATATCTATTATTATAGTAACCAGTTCTTATTGTAAACTATATCGTTAATTACTAATATTAATTATCAGTGTTCTAAAAACGCAAACAAAATAAAACAAGTGGTATTTCCAAACGCCAAATACCGGCAAATAAAAGTCATAGGCGTATCATAAATAATTGATCGTGATGTATAAAATATTTAATCGTGATACAGGATGGACATAGACAATCCCTTCTTAAATTCAAACAAAGTGAGCAGATCTCCGCCGAGATGTCCAACTTCAGAAAAACACATTGCTAATCTGCAAATAACTACCATGCAACAACCATCGAGCAACAGAACCTTGTCTAGCGAACAACAAAGCAATGTAAATTGCTCAACCAATATACTACTCCAAGAGACAGAGTCAACTGAGAACCAACATGAACAACCAGGTAACTCTTTTCTTTCTAATCATGCTTCTTCTTCTTCTTCTTATCTACCGTCACAAATATACATCTCTACTCCACAAGATAGCCAAGAAAACCAAGAACATGAATGGAAAACTGTTCAAGCCCACAAACGAGCAAGAAATGACAGCCCTGGAGGTGATAAACAACTAAAACAAACAATAATGAGCGATTACTGGCTCAAAGCACCCACACCAACGTCTAATAGATTTGCTAGCTTAGATGAAGTACCTGATGAGACCAACCAAACCAGAACTGATGCAGTTAAAGAAAGTATTCAACCCCCACCCATATTTGTTTCAGATGTAGGTGATATACAACCTCTTCGACAATTGTTAGAAACAATATCCCCTCTGGGATATTCCATCAAATGTCTCTACAACGACCAAGTAAAGATCCAGCCCTCAACTTCTGAATATTACCGAATCATAACCAAAGCACTCAATGAGAAAAAAACACATTATTACACCTACCAAAAAAAGGAAGAAAGAACATTCCGAGTTGTGCTTCGTAATATGCATCAGACAGCAGATAAAGACGCTTTAGTACATGAGCTGGGATTAATGGGACACGAAGTAACCAACATAGCTAATATATATAAGAATGGATCAAAAATAGCGCTTCCGCTCTTTTATATAGAATTAAAAACTAAGCCAAATAATAAAGACATATATGATGTGAGAGCACTCCAGAACATGATTGTGTCCTTCGAACCACCATATCCCAAACGTCAGGTTCCCCAATGTACCAAATGTCAACGCTACGGTCACACACAAAAATTCTGCCATATGCCTCCAAGATGCGTAAAGTGTGCAAGTAATCATCTTACTTTACACTGTCCACGAAAAGAACGCAGCAATAACGTAAAATGTGTACTTTGTAACGGAAACCATCCGGCCAACTATAAGGGCTGCAGCGTATACAAACAAATACAAAAAGAAAAATTCCCCCAACTCAGAAAGAATCAAGAGACCCATAGAACAGACACCTATGAAACTAATAGTCAAAGAGTAACCCCTGGTGTTTCTTACGCTCAAAAAACTTCAGGAAATAGTCAAGCGGATGAAATCACAAATCAACAAACTAATGTCGGCTCAAACCATTCAACGAAAATTGCCAACCTTGAAAACCTGATGACAAAACTAGTAGAGAGAATGGACACCATGCTTAATCTTCTTATGACTATGATTTCCAAAATGCACTAATGCAACACAGACTTAAAATAGCCGTCTGGAATTCAAATGGCCTAACGAACCACATCCAAGAAATAAAAATTTTCCTCGACGAGAAGAAAATTGATGTTATGCTTGTATCAGAAGCTCATCTAACAGACAAAAACTATATAAAAATTCCAAAATACATTGTCTACTACACAAAACATCCAAATGACAAGGCACACGGTGGCACAGCTATCATTATCAAATCTAATATAAAACACCATGAGTTAAATAAGTTCAGTGAAAAGTACCTGCAATCAACTAGCATTGTCATCGAAGACTGGTTAGGCAACCTTACCTTATCTGCGGTTTACTGTCCTCCTGGTCAACCAATCAACGAAAACAACTTTAGCACCTATTTTAGTTCTCTTGGACACAAATTCATAGCAGGAGGAGACTTTAACTGTAAACATCATCACTGGGGCTCTAGGATAATTACAACAAGGGGTAGACAACTGCTGAAGTCAATAACAGGAAACAACCTACAACACATATCTACAGGAGAACCAACTTATTGGCCTACAGATCCAAATAAAACACCAGATCTCTTAGACTTCTGTGTGATTAAAGGTATCTCTCTTAACTACTTAGCAATAGAATCATGCTGGGACCTCTCTTCAGATCATTCTCCCATTCTAATTGACCTAGACTCCAAAATCATACTCAGAAATAAGCCTCCAGTCCTAACCAATAATCAAACAAATTGGAAAATATTCCGAAGCGCACTAGCAGAACAAATACCAACGAACTTGCCACTTAAAACAGAATTACAAATTGAAAATGCGGTACAACAACTTACTACCTCCATACAAAAGGCAGGTTGGATTTCTACTCCTGAACAAACAACATGGAAGGAAAGCATAAACTGTTCGCAAAGTGCAAAAAACCTGATCGATGAGAAAAGAAAACTTAGGAAAAAGTGGCAAAACACACACGCTCCTATTGACAAACAAAATTTAAACAGAATTACCAGAAGACTTAAAAATCTATTAAAAGAAGAGAAAAACAGGGGGATCCAAACTTACTTAGAAAATTTGACTCCGTCCAAAGACACCAATTATTCTCTATGGAAGGCGACGAGAAAGGTAAAAGGTCCACAAGACGCCATACCTCCTCTAAAAAATGTCAAAGGTAAATGGGCAAGAACAGACACAGAAAAATCTGAGACATTCGCAGAACATCTTTCTACAGTATTTAGTCCATTTAACAGAGTAGTGCCATTAGAACAAGAAGAACCATTTAATTCTTTTCTTGAGGCTCCATATCAAATGGAACTACCAATCACCAAGTTTAATATTAAAGAAGTAAAACACATAATAAAGAATGAGATACAACCCAATAAGGCTCCGGGATTCGACCTCATAACGGGTAAGATCCTTCAGGAACTAACCAATGACTGCTACAGAACAATCACTATGATCTTCAATGCTATGCTTAGTCTGCATTACTTTCCTCTGCAATGGAAAGTGGCACAGATTATACTCATTCAAAAACCTGGTAAAGATCCAAAAGATGTCAACTCATACCGACCGATTAGTCTACTCCCAGTCATCTCTAAGGTCTTTGAAAAACTTCTGCTACGAAAAATCAAACCAATATTGGACGAAAAGTGTCTCATACCTGACCATCAATTTGGTTTTCGTAACCAACATGGTACAATCGAACAAGTTCACAGACTATACACAACAATAAGAAGTAGTCTCGAGAACAAGCAATACTGTACTGCAGCCTTTTTAGACGCCTCTCAAGCTTTTGACAAGGTGTGGCATACAGGACTTCTGTACAAATTAAAGAAAAATTTACCTTACCCTTACTTTAAACTGCTTCAATCATACCTTACAGAAAGGAGATACCTGGTAAAATATAATGAAGCCCATACAAAACTCTACCCCATCCTATCTGGTGTACCTCAGGGTAGTGTGCTCGGACCGATTCTGTACCTGATATATACAGCTGACTTGCCAATAAGCAATAACCTAACGCTTGCAACATTCGCAGATGATACTGCTTTCTTGGCCTCTCATAGCAACCCAATAATAGCATCAGAGAGACTGCAACTACATCTGAACAAAACAAATGAATGGCTTAAACTCTGGAGAATTAGAGTAAACCCCTCAAAATCCACACAAATTACATTTACTCTAAGAAGAGGTACATGTCCACAAGTTAACCTCAATGGACATCCTTTGCCCCAAAAGCATGACGTAAAATACTTAGGTATTCACCTTGACAAACGTCTAACTTGGACCAAACATATATGGACGAAAAGGCTTCAATTGGGAATTTTATACAGAAAACTTTACTGGATGTTGGGAAAAAACTCTCACCTATCGATCGACAACAAGCTGCTGATATACAATACAATAATAAAACCCACTTGGACATATGGCTCGCAGCTCTGGGGTTCAGCTAGCAAATCTAATATTATGATAATACAAAGATTTCAATCCAAAACTCTGAGAACAATCGCTAATGCACCTTGGTATATCCAGAATGATGCAATACATAGAGATCTTCAGGTACTAACAGTCTCTGAAGAGTGCAAAAAATCTTCTGAACAATATCAAAACAGGTTGCGGGTGCATCCTAATACCCTGGCACACAACCTTCTCAACAACCAACAAGCGAAGAGATTGAAGCGACATGACCCCTTGGACATACCTCACCGATCCTGACAGAGCCTACAGTAGTGGGAGTTAGGCCCTCAACAGCACCCAGACATTGTGATCAGTGCCGCTTTTAGTGCTCGCGTATCAGTGTATGTGCGCATCCTACCGGTAAAAAAGCCAACTTGTGTCGTGATGATTTGGTCACTGGACCTTACATCTCTCTGTCATGTAAAGACAAAAAGTTTTACTTATTGTTTTCACTGCAAAACAGATTGTAAAAAATCTTAAATGTTAATAAATACGAGATAAATAAAATCTTAAATAAAAGTACGAGAACAACTAGAAAAAAAAAATAAACGACATTAATAAGAACACGTAGGACATAATAGATAGATGAGATAAATCGTGGGAAGCAATCCAAACAACATACGCGACTCTATTAAAGCGTGACAGACAGAAGAAGAAAGAATGGATGTCTGATGAGATAATGGATATGATGAATGGAAGACGTAAATTCAAGAGTGAAAATGCGGAAAAATACCAGCAGATCCATAAAATCATAAGAACGAAAATTCGAGAAGCCAAAGAAAAATGGTTTTCCAACGAATGCAGGGAAATAGAACGATACAGGTTTTCCAACGAACGGAAATTCGACAGTTACAATATGCACAAAAAAATAAAATCAATGACGAACAAGAGGAAATTCAATAAGTTACCCAACAGCATAAAAAATAGCGATGGAAATCTTATCTCGGAGTCATCAACGATCTTAGAAATATGTAAATCGTACATAGAAAAATTATTAGCATCTGACAGGACTGATGATCACCTATATGGAGAAGGAGGACCTTTAATCCTTAAATCGCAGATAGAAGATGCCATTGCAGCACTAAAAAACAATAAGTCAGCAGGTCCGGATAATGTACCCTGCAAAATATTAAATATCCTATGTAAATCAAACAAATCAGTTATCATACTTGTCAACTCAAGAGTTCCCTTCCTACTCATATCGTCCACAATTTCGACCTTAGACTTCATAGACAATTTCAATTTATCTTCAACAAATCTCTTAATATACTCCAAAAAAAGATTGCCAACCTAGGGATCACCCCATTTTCTACAATCCAATATCAACAGAAATGGTTAAGAAACCTTACTGAAATTGAACTTCCTCCCAACGTTGCTAAATTATTAGCTCTTGATCCTAAATTTGGATTATCTCCAACCCTAAAGCATTATTCAATTTGTAACCTATTACACTTCATCTAATTTATATAACGATGTACGTCATCGGCGTCATAGCCTGTGACGTCATATGATACCAATACAAAATATTTAGGGTGTAGGTGTGTTCTTTTTTAGAATCACTTTAGCGAGTACACTGGCATTAAAGCCACTAGACATATTTTATTATAGTTCACATCGATACTCCATACCGAGCGGACGTTAAATGGTTCTCTGTTATCAACATTCGACCGGTTTTCTCGATTTGAACAGATAAATGTGAAGTGATTAAAAAGCAATCAATTAGTAATAGACTTAAAAATAATAAACTCATCAAATTAAATTTAAAAACAATACAGTAATTTATTTATAATGTTTCCAACGGGAAATGGACCAGGATTCGACAACTACATAGTTAGCCAACAAATACAAAATGTAAACAGCCAGCCATTACCAATCCAGTATCCATCAAACCAAATGAATTGTTACCCACAAATGCAGATTCCAAACAACACACAGGGTCAATCACAAATCAACAATATACAGGGTTATCCACAAATCTCATCACAAATACCAGGTATGTACAATATGCAAATAAATCAACCAACCACTAATTCTTCGACGAATATGATATTTCCGCCCAATCAAGAACAATATATAAATCAACAAAACGCGGCACACAACAGCAATATAAATAACAGAAATAGCCAGCAATACTACAGAATGTCATCAACAAGCGATGACGAACCAGAAAGTGCAAATGTGTCAACAAATAACTCATGGCAAGTAGTTAAAACTACAAAACGCAGAAAAATCAGATCAAATGTAGAAACAGACAAAGAAGATGATACCATTACACTATCGAACAAATATAATACCCTAACGGATACCCAAGAAAATGAAACCAATCAAAATGAAACAGCGCCAAGAATACCTAAACCACCACCAATATTTGTTTACGATGTAAGCGACTTCCCAGAAATGAGGAAAAAATTTACAGAAATAGCTGAAGCTGAACAATACGAAACCAGAACTATGGCAAATAATACAGTCAAAATAATTTGTAGCGATCCAGAAATATACAGAAAATTCTCCAGATATATGAGAGAGAACAACATTATTCATCACACATATCAACCAAAGGAAGAAAGGGCCTATAGAGTCGTAATTAAATACCTTCACTATTCACATGCAACAGAAGACATCAAAGAAGAACTGACAAAACTGGGTCACAAGGTAAGAAACATCATTAATGCTAAACATAGGATTACAAAAGAGCCGATAAATATGTTCTTTGTTGACCTTGAACCATCAGACAATAACCAAGATATTTATAAAATTCAGAAACTACAACACTGCAATATACAAATTGAACCACCTATAAAAAACAAAAATATCATCCAATGTATGAGATGTCAATTATATGGCCATTCAAAAACATATTGCAATAGACCATATGTCTGTGTGAAATGTGGAGGACAGCACAGTACAAGCAGTTGTAAAAAGAACAAGAACACACCAGCTACATGTGCTTTATGTGGAGGAGATCACCCAGCTAACTATAAAGGATGCGAATATTATCGTAATTTAAATAGAAATAAAAATATAGCACAAACTACATATAATCATCACCAAAATATGTCGCAAGCACGTAACAGAAACTTTATACCCAACACAGTAAGACCAAATGTAAGCTATGCTAATGCAGCGGGTAATAGACAACCTCCTGCTGCTCCTTCAGATAACCAAGATTCAAACACCATTCTTATGAAGTTTTTAGAAGAATTCAAAGCCATGTTTAATCAAATCTTGCAACAAAACAGCATGGTAATAAACATGCTAAGTAAACTCATATGCAAATAAAATTCTTTCTACGAATAGCAGAATGGAACGCCAATGGCCTGCTGAATCATAAGGACGAGGTGATAATATTTCTACAACAAAATTTTATAGATGTATTATTAATAAGTGAGACACATTTTACAGACAAATCGTATTTTAAAATACCTCAATATCTAACGTACCATACTAACCATCCAGACAAGACAGCCCATGGAGGTACAGCAATTTTGATCAAACAATCAATTAAACATTTCATGATGGAAAGTTATATAACAGACTGTATCCAAGCTACAGTAATTAAAGTGTGCTCATTACCTTACGAAATAACAATAGCAGCAGTGTATTGCCCTCCAAAGCACAATATTAAAAAAACCGATTTCGCATCCTTCTTCAATACTCTAGGTCCAAAATTTATCGCAGCTGGTGACTTCAATAGTAAACACACGTACTGGGGATCAAGATTAATAACAACAAAGGGGAGAGAGCTTTATAGCTTAATGCAAGAAAATAAATACTCATATTTATCAACAGGAACACCAACGTACTGGCCAACGGACCCCAAAAAAAGACCAGACCTCTTAGATTTTTGCATCATAAAAGGAATATCTAACACCTTTATGGACATAGTTCCAAGTTATGATCTATCTTCAGATCATTCACCAATTATTGCAACAATTAGCACCTGCGTTATTAACAAACAACCTACTCCAAAACTGCATGGACCTAGAACAGATTGGAACGTTTACCGAAAAATACTGGATGAAAACATTAAACTAAATGTAAGACTAAGAAGCCCTTCAGAAATAGAAGCAGCTACAAACAACTTTATGACATTATTACAAAACGCTGCAAAAGAAGCGACACCGAACGATGCAGATAAAAATAAAATCGAGAATAGAATAAATATTCCACTAGAAATTAAAAAGCTCATTGCTGAAAAAAGAAGAGCAAGAGCCAAATGGCAACAAAGTCGGAACCCAGCGGATAAAACGTTTTACAATCGCTTAGCCAATACATTAAAAACACAACTAAAAATTGCAAGAGAAGAGTCAGTCAAAAAATATGTAACACAACTTAATAGATACGACCATTCAATATGGAAACCAATCAAATCATCCTTAAAACCTCAAGCAATATCGCCACCAGTAAGAAAAACCACAAACACACAGAACCAATGGGCAAGAAGCGATAAAGAAAAATCCGAATTATTTGCTGAACATTTAGCAACAGTATTCCAACCACACAACAATGAAGAAGATCAAGAAATTATTAATTATTTAAACTCAGAACAACCGTCAGTAAATCCAATAAAATTAACAACACCCAAAGAACTTAAAGAAGAAATCTTAAAACTAAATATCAAAAAGTCACCAGGAATTGACCTAATAACTCCAAAAATGCTAAAGGAATTACCAAAAAAGGGTTATAGTGATCCTTACATATATATTTAACGCAATATTAAGATGTAATTATTGGCCTAACAATCTAAAAATTGCAGAAATACTTTTATTTCCAAAACCAGGAAAGGATCCAAGTGAAGTCTCATCCTATCGACCTATCAGTCTGTTATCAACAATCTCCAAATTACTAGAAAAACTTTTAATAAAAAGAATAGATCCAGGCCTTACAGGCGCAGACTGGATACCAAATTTTCAGTTTGGATTTCGACGAGAACACTCAACTATCCAGCAATGCCACCGAATAACCCATAAAATCAATTCCGCATTAGAAGAAAAGGAATATTGCCCAATGGTATCACTAGATGTACGTCAAGCTTTTGATAAGGTTTGGCATAAAGGACTTCTTTATAAAATTAAACAAATATTACCACCCTTCTTTCGAATACTTACATCATACTTGGAAAACACGACAGTTTAGAACAAAAGTAAAGAAGGGGTCAATGCAAAAAGTGCCTAAGTCACTTTTTTTACGGAATTGGGTTAGTGCCACCATCTAGTGGCATTTATTATAAGCTTTCAGATGGTAGTTTCAAAGTTGCAGAAATCTGTACCTAAGTCGCTTATTTTACATTTTCTCTGATAGGAGTTTCGCTTGTTTTCAACGCAAAATGTACCTAAGTCACCAATTTGACAAAATATGCAGTATACGGTGCAAATTGTGCCTTAGTCACGTTATTACAAGGTTATGTACCGTGTGTTTATTACGTCTCTGTGAATCCTGTGTGTAATTATCATTTAAAAATAAACATGGCAGGTAAGGAAAGTGGAATAAATATATTTTGTTAATGCAGGTACTACTGATCGTTTTCACGAGGGATATAAGATTTATTTTGTAGTTATGCATTATTAACTACATTCTAACCTCGCATATTTTAACAACTATTATTTTACTTCAGATGATGGTGAATGGTCAGATTATTCGGCATCATGCAGTGAGTATGAACCAAATAGCAAACACGAAAATAGTTCTGAAGTCGATGACCCTGCTCCATGCAGAAGCAACCAGAGAACCAATAGATCTCCCAAGGAGGGTAAAACCTCTAGTTCCTGTGCTACGATGGGACATGGTCTAGAAAATATGGACATCCCTGGATCCTCCACACAAATCAGTACACATATTATTACCCAAAATGTGGTGTATGAAGTCAATGAATCCCAGCACCCAGAAGTAAAGAAGGGCAAGAAAAGAAATATTAATAAGGATGCATGGAAACGAACCATCAAGAGTAAGGAGTCGTTTTCTCGAAAACACCAAAGAAGACAAATAACAAACTGTCGCTGTAAATGCTCCTTAAAATTAACCGAAGAACAACAAAACCAAATTTTCCAGGCCTATCACAATTTAACGTCATCTACACAACAAAATTTATACCTTGAAGGTTGTGTACGTCCTACGGATGTCAAACGACACAGATCAAGAAAATCTATCAATCCACGACATAGGAGCCGAAGCTTTCTATATGAAATAAAGATTGACGGAAAACTGATAACACTATGTCAGTCGGCATTTTTAGCAGTACATGGAATAAAACGCTCTAAACTGCGCCGGAAGATTCAAAAAAACAATGCAGATCCTAAGGATTCTAGAGGTATTCATCACACTAGGCCAAATAGAACAAAAATTGATACTTTAGCCGCAGTTAGAAAATTTATAGAAGAACTGCCAGCTCGAGAGTCTCATTACAGCAGATCTGATAATAAACTTCGGAAGTATTTGGATTCCCATTTATCTGTTGCTAAACTTCACCGAAACTTCTTAGAAAAGAGTCAAAATGAAAAAGTATCATACGAGATGTTCAGGAAAATTTTTACAGAAGAATATAACATATCATTTGGATTCCCAAGAAAAGACATCTGTAAAGAATGCACTCTATTTCTGGCACGTTTACAACAAGCTGAAGTGGCACATGATAAGACATCGACACAAACTCTCAAGGTAGCAAGAGAACTGCACATAAGAAAAGCTGAAGTGTTTCAAAAGAAAATTTCGGAAGAAGCAAAAGCTAATGATCCTTACGTTCTATCAATTTGCTTAGATTATCAAAAAAATTTGCCTGTTCCTGTAACGAATATTACGGACGAATACTATTTGCGTCAGTTGTGGATTCATAATTTGGGAATACGTTGCTTAACGACAGGAAAAACCAATATGTATATGTATGCAGAACACTTTGCTCAGAAGGGACCAAACGAGGTTATTTCTTGCCTTCAGGACTATATTACGCAAAATCAGAAGCCAGAACAACGTTATTTGAAACTTTTTTGCGACAACTGCTTCAGCCAGAATAAAAATAGATATTTATTTGTCTTTTTGGATCAGCTTTGCTCCAATAATATTTTTGAAGCTATAGAAATCTGGTATCCAATACCCGGTCACAGTATGATGCCAGTCGATCGAGATTTCGCTGTGATTGAAAAACAAAGAGTAAAGTACGACAAAGTTGACAACCCTGAAGTTTATGTCAATATGATAAAAGGTTGCAGAAAGAAAAACCCATTTGATGTCGTATTTGTACAGCATTCGCTGAGGTCAAATGGATGTCTGGAAAAAGGCGATCGTAGCATAAAAGTGAAAAACTATAAATTATGGTTAGACTCCCATATAAAAAAAACTGTGCCGGGAATTTCGAAAGCTAGACGCATCAAATTTTCGCGTAATGAGCAACCACAGCTCAGTGCAACCTACTCTGGCCCAATGGAATTAATCAAACTTTACAAAGTGGGTCAAAACCGTAAAGTTTGCGGCCAACCCACGCTGGCCTATGCGAATGAATACCTTCAAATAAAACAGTTGAAATTTGACAACGTAATGCATCTTGTCAAACACATTATATCACTGGACACTGAATTCTTTACTCGAACCATGTCTGACAATGGGAGTATAATCCAACAAAATAACCTTGTGAGTGAAGAACTTCATCAGGTGCAAGAGGCTGACGCAGTTTATGAATAGCTTTTTTTCCTATCATGTTCTAATATTTTCTGCAAGCATGCTGTGTAATTAATACAATGTTTATGTTTTGTATGTTTTATGTTCTTACGGTGTCACATAATAAATATTATTTCAATATAAACGCTATTTTTTTATGATATATCTTTAATTTTCCACGAAATATCAAATTGCAACACAAAATGTGCCTAAGTCACAAAATATTTAAATTTTTTTTAGAAAATTGCAAAGCTTTATGTTTTGTTTATTCATGAAAGTCGAAGAACCTTTACAAAAAGAATAAATCGCAACACACATTTTGATCATAACATTTTCAGTAATATTTCAAAATCAAAAATAAACTTTCAAACCTTAATATCTCACAATTACCAATTTGCGACTTAGGCACTTTTTGCATTGACCCCTTCGGAGAAATATCTAAAATGCATCCCATTAAGGCGGGAATTCCACAGGGCAGTGTCCTGGGACCTTTATTATATATATTATATACTTCTGATCTACCAACTTCGCATAACGTAACAATTGGCACATTTGCAGATGACACAGTAGCACTTACCAGTCACAAACACATTAACATAGCTACACAACAACTCCAAGATTATTTGTATGAGCTTGAAAACTGGCTAAAACAATGGAAAATAAAAATTAATGAAAACAAGTCAACCCACGTAACTTTCACTTTACGACGAGAAACACCACCACCAATAATATATCAACAATGAGGAAATACCCAGGACTAAAACAACCAAATACCTAGGGCTACACCTGGACCAAACCCTGTGTTGGAAAGAACACATCACCAAAAAAAGAAAACAAATACAACTAAGACAAAAAGAAATCAATTGGTTAATTGGAAAAAACTCCAAACTGTCAATAAATAATAAAATTCTAATTTATAAAACAGTTATTAAACCAATATGGACATATGGCATAGAGCTGTGGGGCTGTAGTAGTAAATCTAATATTGCTATTATGGAAAGATGTCAATCAAAAATCTTAAGAGCAATTGTTGATGCACCCTGGTACGTAACCAACCAACGAATCTATGAGGATCTCAATATCTCAACAGTGAAAGAAGTATACCAGCAAAAGAAATTACAATACATTCAAAAAGTGAACACACACTCCAACCCATTAATTTCCGCAATACCTCAACATCAAGTTATCCGAAGACTAAAGCGACGTTGGCCAACAGACCAGTAACATGGACCCGTGATTCTCTCACTGGAGGGGACCACATCACGCCAGAACCAAGGGACAGGACTTAAACTCATCACATTAACTTATAGAATATATTGTTTTATTCTGATTGTTAATTTATTAGTTATAATAAAAAAAAAAAAATATTTTATTATAATACGCATAGACATAATATTTAAAAATTTCTATTAATGTTAACTTAAAGAAATACACAATAATATGTTTCATTTAATTTGTATAAATGTATTATAAAGCGTTTTTATCAAAAACATTTGTTCGGAACACACTGTAACTGTAATCGAACGAAGGTAAAATTTTGGCATAAATTGGTAACACTTAATTGACAGTTGCGGTGTTGACACTTTTTGTACTTCATTATTTTGAATTTTAAAGTGAATATCTCTTGTTTTATACTTTTACCTATTTAATAAAATCGGTTCTTTAAAAAAAAAAATTAGTGTGTTTTATTTCAAAAATGTCACGTAAGAATTTAAATAGTCGTTGTAAAGAGATGGTAATACTTTTGCAATAATTATGTAATCTATTTGATTTAACGTGGAGTCAGGATTTTTTTATACTTTGGCAACTATGTCAACTTCGATCTCTGATGTAGATAATGACGTAAGTCGTTATCTAAATTAGATGAAGTATATCTGATGTCGAAAACATTCTTACAGGTTCCGAATCTACAGATCTCACTCAAGATCATCAGCCAATAACATTTTACTTAATATTACTAATGCCCCAAAAAAATCACAATCCGAAATTGATCGAGCCTATAATGAAACTAGAACTTTTCTTAAAGACCATCCTGAACTATTGGTACTTTTAAGTGATAAGGGTAATGCTACTGTTTTTATGTATAAAGAGCAATACATGGTTCTCGGCCAATTACTTTTGAATGATGAACAATATTATTGACCGTTACCCAGAAATCCCACCAGTTTTTTACTTCCAGAATCAATAACCACATTTCCAAGTTAAAAAGATCCAATCTCATCACGGATGTTGTAGCCAAATCTCATAATAATTACAATGGCATCTCTCCTAGATTTTACTGTTTGCCGAAAATTCATAAACCGCAATTGTGCATGCGTCTCATAGTATCATCCATTAATTCTCCTAATGGCAACATTGCACATTTTTTGGCTAATATACTTTCAACAGCATATGATCATGACAACGTAATTAATATCTCAGACTCCTTCAAGTTTAGTGATTTTATCAACAACTTCCAACTACCTTTAGGTTTACAAGTAGTAGGTTTCGATGTAGTGTCTCTCTTTACCAACTTACCTTTACCTGTTGTCTTTACCTCTTTACATAATCACTGAAATAAAATCCAACCCCACTGTCCCTTTGGATGGGAAACTTTCGTGGAACTCGTCAAGTTGGTGTTTGACAGCAACTATTTGGTGTTCAATGATAGATTTTACCTACAGATTTTTAGAACCCCTATGAGATCCTCTATTTCTCCCCTTTTGGTTGGTTTCGTCTTGAATGACCTTATTGTAGATAGACTCAGTCACTTAGATTACAACATTCCTTTTGTCAAAAGGTATGTTGATGACTTGATCCTGGCCGTACAATTTTTTCTTTCTGCCTTCAATGAATACAATCCCCACTTGCAGTTCACATGCGAGATGAAGGTAAATAACACCATTCCGTTTCTTGACATGTTAATTGTATGAGGTGTTGACACCATCCTAAGAAACAAATGGTTTAGAAAGAGCATTGCTAGCAATCGCTTCCTTAATTATTATTCCTTTCATCCTAAAAGATTCAAACACAACCTCGTATAGGGATTAGCCTTAAGAACCCATAAGTTGTCACATCCTTTATACAGAAGGGAAGCCACTCATTTAATCAAAACCATATTAGTTGGGAATTCTTTTCCAACTTTTCTTATTAATAGATATCTTTTTTCTACTGCAAGGTCCTTACTTGACCCGACTTATACCAATGTGGGAGATTTGCACAATAACATATTTGACAACAATGAACTCCACATTGATGAGGTTTCCAGATCTGAGTCTCCCCTAGATATTGCTCATAACCCTATTTTCCACAGGTTACAGAGAAACTTAACAAATTGTTTAAACCCCTATCTACCAAAATAGGCATTAAAAATTGTAAAACAGTTGGAAATCTCTTTTCACGTACCAAAACACCTTTAGATATTTGGGAGAAATCAAATGTAGTATATAACATTCCATGCAAAGACTGTCATTTGAAGTATATTGGTCAAACTAAAAGAACCCTTAAAGGGCGTGTTATATCCCATAAAAGTGATATCAGATGCCACAAAAATTCTTGTGCTCTCAGTACCCACTCTATCTCTCTTAACCACCAAATCGACTTTGAGAATATTGAGTCTCTAGGAACTGAGAATACTTTCTATAAAAGATCCTTCCTGGAAATGTGCCACATATTAACGGAAAAAAACTCCATGAACAGACGTACTCACATTGATAATCTCAGCATCGTTTATCACTCCTTGCTGTTGAATAATCCTTAAAATATTTCTAGTTTAATGTTACATTTCACAATTTAACTTAGGTACACCTAAATCCGATCAAGACATGGCCTGAATTTTTCAGTTTTTGTCCTCTAGGAAAAAACAACTACCATCGGTTCTACCTTGATACTTCAAAATTATATCTTTATATTCAGTTCAACGAGCACTTTAGCAATCTTCATACATCACATTTCGATATAAAATCCTTTCCAAAAGGAACCACATGGTGAGTTTAACAAGTTCATATCACATTATAATTCATTTAATTCACTAATTCTAGGTTCCCCAGCAATGGTCATCGTTACATTTTATTACCAACCCTCTTGTAATTAGATTTTAAACAAATTGACTTTTCTTTTGTTGAAATTGACTTTTCAAATTGTTCACTGAGCTCAATAAAAACAAGGTAATTTTTCTCCTGGCTTCATGTTTCGAGATATTTTATAACAGCGATAGAATAGAAGTGTTGTACTATATTATACTGTTCTTGTTAACATATTGTGACATTTTGTAACTGTTCAATGTTTGTATAAATTTTAAGTAAAATTCTGAATGTAATTTTTTACCATAACTTTTATTGTATTTATTTAATGTATTTTATAACATCGCAACATATGCATTTGACATTGTTTGACATCTATATATGACTTCACAATCATTAGAACTGAAGAACTGCAGAAATACTGCACGAAATGTTTTCTATTAAAAGATTGAAATAGTTTTTTTCATTTTTTATTTGTCCTTGACCGACATCCTCATTTACAGTGAGATTTTAATCTCACTCACATTGTGTATTTAAATTTAGACGGTCGTACTCCTTTCAATATATATATATATATATATATATATATATATATATATATATATTTCAATATATATATATATATATATATATATATATATATATTTAATAAATGATATACAAATGATAAATATTGTTTTATATGAGATTATACAGATTGCCGCACACGCTAAAACTGTTTGATGTTATCCTACATTTTTAAATTAGATCGCCGAAAATTAATATTCATTACGAGCCACGTATAATTTTTTGCAAAAATTTATTCAAGAAATCAATCAAGAAGACTACAAAAAATATTTTTTTAATATTTTTTAAATTTGTATCTTATCAATACACTCAACGCCTACTTTTTAATAAAAAACACAATAAATACTGATATCAATCGCGGTTAATCCCCAAGCCTCACACAGTCGTTTACGCACGGGAAAAAACGTGCAAAAAGCAGCAAATGTAATAAAAGCGTGTAAAGAAAACCCTTTTTAA